GAGTTCGAATCAATATCATTTAAGGATAATTTAAAATTTTCACAATTGTAATTGCAATTTTGCTCTAATTTATTTTTATAAAAATAAAGTAATTATGATTTTGTATTAGCATCAAAATAAAAAAGAAAGATACTAGAAAAAGTAGGGTGTACAATGTCTCTTTTGTATACTTCTTTTTATTAAGTTATTGGAGCGACGAATGAAAACATAATTCTACATAGAGACGAATATCTATACATTCTTTATGCCCTTTTGTGCCTTTATTTCATTACTATGATTTTATTGCTCTTGGTTATATAGAGTCAGAGTTTGTAATTCTCAATTGTTACAATAAAAAGTGTGTTATAACTTTCAAGTTGGGTTATGATCCTTAAATACCTTAATATAAATGAACTTACAATAAAGTTCATGTCCTCAAAAAAATATTATCGTTCAAAATCTTCAAATTTGGAGCAATAGATGGTAGTAAAATTTTTTGCCTGTCCTTAATAGTATAAATTGATAAGCTTTGAGGTTCTTCAAAACTATAAATAAAATTTGTAGTACATTGAAGCCTAGAGGAAAGCATATGTGCCACTCCCCAAAGTTTCATATATAAATTATAAGATATTCGCCCCCGAGGTATAGCCCAATGGTGCAAAGAATAAGAGTGAAGTTATCTCACACTTTGCTGACAGTCGCAGTGTGGAGGTTCGATTACTAAGACATAGAGTTGAACTCCTTATAAGCGTAGTGTATAGACAGCTCTTATTTCCTGACCAGTTGGGACACATCCCGCGATTTACATTCCTCACAAAGCTCTAGGGACGGGACGGTGAGAGCCCTCAAGGTTGGGATTCAACTTTTTTTTTTTTAATTATAAGATATTCATGACTTGCACAGATGTTAATAAAGTTTATTGATTGATTATTCAAATGACAAACTTTATAAGATTCTCCAAACCAAACATGTAACCACGTGTGTCTGAACTTCAGGTAAAAAGGACATGTGGGATCCATTTGGGGGACAAATTCTATTAGAAACCCGATCCAACCTAACAATTCTTTGATTCTGATTTGAAATGTGAATAAGAAAGTAAATGCGAAATATACCTATAAAGGGAAAAGCAAAGATGATGTTGAGATGATGAGTAAGAGTTGGATGTCACTAATTATGTTCTCATTCGAATCGAGGGAAATAACTACTTTAGAGTTGAGAACACGTCAAAGCTTGAGTCTGAACTAATGTTCTCGTTACACACAAATTTACGTGAAAACTCAAAGATGATGAAAACATTACAAGAGACTGATGTTTTCACTACACACGTAATTTTTTCAAGTTGGGTCAAACAAAATTCGAGTCATCATACATACTCTAAAAATTTTAAAAATATACCCAAACATCCACTGGAATAAAGTAAAACTTCAAGACTAAGGTTAAATCGAAGTCGAACCGAGATTTACCAAATGATTTTAAAGAATTAAAAAATAATTAAATAAATAAATTTCCAAAAAATAATAATAATAAAAAATGAATTTTAAAAAGGGAGTTTTTTAGACAATTTTTATAAATTTAAATCGGTGCAAACGTAACAATCAACGGTTTTCACAAAATAGGACAAATCGACCGGTATTTGGACGCTATATTAAAAGATGGGCTCTCTTCCTAACCGGTGAGGCTTTGGATCTGGTTTACATTCGTCGGAACTAAAAATTATTTATGTTCAATAAGTTTAGAGTCGAAAATAAGTTGAGCTTATAAGAATAATGNAAAACGTAAAATGCTGAGATTCAAGAATGTACGCAAGATAATTCACGCAGCTTTCCTTTGCCAGTGCACCCGCTCCTTGTTCGACAAATGATCAGCTCGTCTGCTGTGCCGAGGAGCAGTGAACTGGCCTTTATCACCATTTTCCGAACCCCTAAAATTACGTTTTTGGAATCCATCTTTTCCTGGGAAATTTTCTAGACTATTTCGACCTGCAAAAACACATTACGTCAGATTATTTGTGTAAACAAGAATACGACAGTATAAAAGATAAAGAGAATTTCTATCCTTTTTACAATAAAACACTTGTCGGCTTACCCGGATAGGATGATCTCTTGTATGCGATATATGCTTCTTTTTCACCAAAAGTAACATATCGAGCCTGAACAACCTTAAAGTCAGCACTTAACATAAAATGGACCCGTATTTGTTTGTTTATAGATGTAAATAAGATATGAACACAATCTTTAGGCCAATGCAGATGTCTAATAAACAAGAATTTGACTGGTCAGAAGCAGCTGTTGATGCATAGTTTTAATAATATGCTAACAACCAGAAAAAGAACAAAATCCTACTGCATAATAATTTCTTTACAACTGCATATGAGAAACTAGTTGTTTGCAGACATTCCAGAGGTACAAGAAGATAAAAGAACTATTAAGCTAATTGACATTGAGCCCACTGAACTCTAATTGGAACAGGTTTATATGGTGGATTATACTTCATCAATCCAAAAAAGCAAAACAAATAAAATAGAGCACCAAATTGCATAAAATGAGAATATCTAGACCTGGGCCGAGCAATGAAGTAGCCCAACTAATGCAAGTTCGCATGCCAACTGTGCAAGGATCCACATGAACAAATATCTTTAAAAACTGGTATAAAAGACCCAAGAAGAAATTCAGGAGTGGAACTATTCAAGTTGTATGAAGATTTTGCATAAATATCATGAATGAAGTCGAATTAGTACCTCTATTGCAAGACGTGCAGATTCTGAGGATTCAAATTCCACAAATCCGCAACAAAATCCATCCTGACAAATTCTGAGACGAGTCAGTAGAGACAAAGATAAAATTATAATATAACATGATTAACTCAAATCCAAAGCAAACCTTATGTTTTCTAATCTGGATGCTATCTGAACTTCGTCTAACTTGTCCAAATTGTTTTATGATATTCAAGACTTCACTTTTTGTTATACTATAAGGCAAACCACCAATGTATATGCTTCTAGCTGTGATCAAAAGATTAAATATAGTAGCCAACATGATACAGAGGGTTTTAAGATGACGATGGACTAGAGACAGAAAAATTACATTCTGTATATGTACTAATATTAGGTGAGTCATTTCTAAGTATCGAGATCTTCGGTGCAATGTTGTTAGGATGAGATGAGGTGTTAGATGCAACACTTCTATGAGATCGTATTTTGGACGCATTGTCGGCAAAAGAAGTTGAAGATTTAGGTGCTGGAGAACCAGCTGATGGTTGGTCATCATTTGGTGAAACGCTAGCAGTCACGTGACCCTCTTTTGCCACCTGGAGATGAAATCACCCAAAAAAAAAAAAAAAAAAAAAAAAAAAAAAAAATTT